ACTTTCAGTAAAGAAGCTAAATGGCCGGGATCCCTCTCACTTCTTGATAATAATTTTGTCAAGGGGTTTTATTTTAAACCTTCTTACTGTTCTAGACCACAACTTGGGGCTGGTAGACCCGCTCCCCATAGGTCTACTGGCCCTTTCCTGTAAGAAAGAATTATTACTTTGTTCGTTCTGCATGATAACTTAGCGAGCTTCAAGTTATGTTCCTAAATGTTGGCGGTCGTGACATTTGTAAAACATACACATTATGCACGTCAGTTAACGTAAATCAGACGATTCATAATGCAGCTCCAATGACCACAAGCATGTAACTCCCCACTTTGAGGTCCCCCATCTGAGGCCGTTTTCATCCTTCAGATACCTCAGTCCTCCGTTATCCATTTTCTCTGTTACTAAAATAACCTCTCTATAAAAGTGGTGAATGTGAGAGAGAAACACCATTGTTTTGGTCAACTTGAATAAATGTTTGAGATTCCCCGGTTAAAGCTTATTCAAAGATCCTTTGTGGGTGATGTTTGAAGCTTCAACTGTCTTTGTCTGTCATAGTCCACGTTGACTGCTGATCTATTAACTAATGATTCTTATTAGAAGCTCCGCCCCGCAAAACGTGGTGGCGAGGCTGTCCCAAAGCGTCTTACCCTCGTGATCCCTCCCAGTAAGTCCCTCCTTCGAACACAGTTGTCCCAATGCATGGTTTATTCACTTTCTCCTGGGGAGGCTCAATGTGAATTAGTCCTGTAAATCAACCCAAGTAATTCACCAGACAACTTGTCAACTGAGGGTCATCTTTGAATGAGTAACAGTTAGTTTGCTTTATATTAATTATTGTCATTGCGTGGTAGCGATCACTGGCAACTCAGGGGGTACCTACTAAAGACAAACCAAGAGAACCCCTGGCGCTGCTCCATGTTTTCTCCAGGTATAATAATTGGAATTATGCCATTCAGTTAATTCAGTCAATTGTAGTGAATATCAAATGTTTCTGATTTAACAGTTGAATTATCATTCACCAATGTAATGTATAACGTAAATACGTCTGTCGTCTGGGCAGAGAGTTTGTTTTGTGTTTATCATATTTCCCTGATTCTGACGCTTTGCTCATATTTATCTAGATCGTTGTGAGTTCTCGAATCGCTCTGCCATTCAACAACGGCCTCGGATAATAAATAACCAGCAGGATCATATGTAAACGATGACACCGTGCGCTTACAGTTTAATATGCCCACAGCTACATTAGAGCGAACTCAGACCCGCCGTATTGGCTGCCTACTCCAACGGTCAAGCCCCATTTTCTACCTGGGTTACTCCTTGAAGTGTATATCCTGAAGAGGGTTGTGTGACATGTATATTGCAGGGATAATTGTGGTTGGAAATAATTATCTTTCATGTTGGGTAGTGAACCCTGTATATACTAGTGTCAGTAATGTGTATACAAATGAATAATCTACAGTGCACTTATACTATGTGTTGTGGTAGGGCCCAGGAACTGGTCACTGTGTATGAGTAATGTAAAACCAATAATATTGTGATAAGAGAGCTAAAATGTAAGAAACCACGGAACCACTACTAAGCCCAGGAGATGAGCCTGGTAGTTAAATAATTAATACAATATCTTTCTGATTTGCACATTGTAAACTTGTTTTATAGTACTTTAGGTGTATTCACTTCTCCCTGATATTTACAACTATTTCCATCAAGTGACCTGATGCCCAAATTGCCTCGTGCCTGGGCCCTCAACCAGCCTGCTACCCAAAGAATGACCATGCTGCAAGAATGCTCCATGCTGCAAAAGAATAGGTGACAGAACTGAGTAAATAAGACTAGAAGTAAGTAAGATGAGGGTGATATGAATACAGAAGAGAGACCCACTTCCCTCCCCATCGTCTGAAACTTGTCCAAGAGTAAATGAGAGTCAGTCTACCTATGCAGGCCCTCTCATGTTTTTCGTCCTCTGAGGATAGCCATGAAGTTCCAATTGCTGCTGAAGGATTAGATTGTTTTGTTGCCCAAACATCGAGAATCTGATGGTTGTAGTTTGAATTATTGTTGATTTGTCGCTAAAGTCATTAATCTCCCTGAGGAGAACATGTCCAGGCTCATATCTCCAACATCTCAACGTATGTGGCAAAGGGCTGCTTGTCTAGGAGTCCCGCCCAGTTGTGAAACTAAGTTTATCAGGTGTGAAAAAGGTAATTTCCACTTTTCTGTAAGCTCTCAATCTCTACGATTAAATTAATACATCGACAGAAATTGGCCTGACCCCGTGGCAACTGGGTTTCATATTTGAATAGCTGTAAGTTGAGATAAATCTAATTTCTGTCATTGCATCGATTAGCCATTTCTAGCATGTGTTGGCAGGGGTGCCCAGTTAGCGTGTTAAAGCTCGTGCGCGGGAGACGTCACTTCTCCGACGCTTCTCAAAATTATCTGCAGGTATGAACGATGGTTTCTGTCTCTGTGTTGAATTCAGTTTGACTTGATTAATTTTGAATATCGGTGTTCAACTGTTCATGTTGTAACAGTGGAAATTGTCATTTACCTAGTGAAAGAATTAATATAAAGGTTAGTGTCGTCTGTATCGTGGCGGACATTATGATTTCGCCATAATTGCGAGATTGAACATTTGCACTTTCGTGACTTCCTCACAACCTTCTCAAAAATTATCACAAGCCCAGTGTGTGTTAACTGAATATCCATCAGCTACCGAGATTGGTAGCTATCAGCGCAAGTGTCAGTATTGGACGATGTCATCCGTTAATTAAGGCAGGATTAAACTGTACCAGGTCGCATACTGAAGACTAGACCCACACGACTCTCTCGACTCTCTCGGTGTCGGTCTACAACTCGACCATAACGGCGATCTTCCGGTTGTTGTGGAGACACCGGTGTTGTAGCCAACACCAGAGCCTCCTTACGATTATATGGGCAAAGTATTAATGTTGTTGCCTGATTGGTGATAATTAACGAACCTGGTACCACAGGTTAAGTATTGAACCTTGAATGTTGGCATACCCGGTATTTTTGTTGTTGTAGGAGTTAGGCCTAACCACTGAAAATAGTTGAAGTGCCATGTTTATTTCAAATTCAAAATAGCATGGTACATAAAGAATATTTTAATTTGGGATGTGTGTCCAAGCGTGTCATATTACCCCACTTGTCTGTAAAATAAATATAATGATTGTTAAATGTTGTAACCAAATTGAGAATGTAATTTTATTTACTTGTAGAGTGAACCTGAGAAGTCAATCCGGTCTGGGCAATATAATAACTACTGTATATTGTCCAAGAAAAAACTCTAGCAGTTGCAATGATGTAATAAATAATTAAGTGGTTTATTGAAATAATAAGTGATTTATACGTCTATTTCTTAATAAAACATTAAGACCTGGTCAGTCTTGTTTGAGTAGACCCAATTAACATCTTGATCCTCCTTCTCATCAAATATTCGAAAATTAAGTATTGAAATCATCCAATTCTCCTTAAAATTTTTCAAAACCTTCTGGTTCTCAGAAAGATAACTTCGTATTGCTCACGTGCCTCCAAAACTCTCACCACACTACCTAACAATATACTAAACATATTTATTCTAATAAAGTCTGGGTGGTGGTAGCCATTTCACAAAAATTTCTCACACATTCCTGCACAGCTAAAACTGGAACGTCAATGTGGCATGTAAAAACTCATGCACTGTTAAACAAACGTTAATCAAGAACCCCAACAACACAATTGGTTGCATTTATAAAGTTCCTTGCAAGGAATGTAATATATTTTACTTAGCAGACAGGTAAAGATCTTGCAACTAGAATTAAACAACACAAATACAGTGTTAGGACAGGCCAGGAATCCAATGCTCTGTTTGTTCATTTGAGGATAACAAATTGCATTGACTGGGATAATGCCTCCTCAATATTACCATGTAATTCAATTGATAGTAAGAACATCATAAAATCTAGTCTTATTAAACATACCGAAGCATTCAACATGAATTTGAGTAACGGCATGTACAAGCTGGACAATTTTGTAATTAGAAGATTTGTGATCAGGTGAGAAGGCCAGGTCATTTGACCATCTGACCTGACCACCAACCGTTGTGTGCTATTTAAGATTAGTAGGGTCATTACCTAATACCTGACCATTGTGGACCTGGTCTCACCCTCCTCTGTATATATACACTTGATTTAGTCTGTACTCACCTGAAGATGTGAATTACAGCGCTTAGGAACTTCGTTTTCTTCTTCATGTAGTTATCAGCATATATGAGGTACATATATATATATATATATATATATATATATATATATATATATATATATATATATATATATATATATATCTTGATAAAATCACACGGGAAAAATGGAAACAACAGGTACCTTAGCTTTCGTCTTTATTCAAGACATCTGAAGATGTCTTGAATAAGAAAGCTAATTCGTTATTTCCATTTTATAAATTATCTTATCGTTTTCATTGTGGATTTACATAGAAATATATATATATATATATATATATATATATATATATATATATATATATATATATATATATATATATATATATATATATATATATATATATATATATATATATATATATATATATAAACGTCTCTATTATATCTGTTTTATTGTATCTTGTCTGAAGGGTTGTTAGTCTCAAGACCCTCAGTCAAGTTGGATAATCGAGATGACTTTGTTCAGGAATCATCTTAGTCTTTTTGTTGCACCTTCACTAGGGACGTTAGGTCTTTCTGGAGGTAGAGTTTTCATCCCTGTATACAATAATCTCAACCAAACATCACAAGTTACCTCCGGGTTCTTTAGTTTCGTCCTGTAATAACAATGAACAAAAAGAATCGTAACAAAATGCCAAAGAAAAGGCAGATAACATGAAAGGATAGCAAGCTAAAAAAATTGTGGAAAGAATAAGCTTAATTAATAAAACTCTTAAGTAACATCACTTTAATATTTCAGTTACTCATAAAATCGTAACTAGATTACATTTTCTGTGATTTCGAATATTTACTGCGGTCACTATTGTATTTTGACACTATGCAAATAATAATATTAATATTTATTCACTAAAATTACCATACAGGTTTACAATTGGAGAGACATATAAGGCATTTATATAAATTACTGCAGTTATAGAGTTCAGCGTATAGTAGACAATATAGGTATACGGTGCACATAGAGCAGAGTAGAGTTTCCCGTGTGCCCTGACAGTACAGGTAAACAACACTAGTAAACAGAAAGGCAATTTGACTAAGGAGAGTCGACAAAGGTTATAATTTTTTTTTGTGTGTGTGTGTTTGCGGTTGTTATTATTATCAAGACTGATCAGCTGTTCCCAGGGCTGATAGTCGAAGGAATTGGGTTCAAAGTTCTTTTAGCCAGCTAGTTAGTCATTACTACTGATTGACATTCTTAGAGCTTAATGACGCACTTAGTATGTAAATTTATTGAACTTAGAGCTTCTGATCTTCCTTATGAACTTTTAGCTGAACATGATCTATTATATGAACTTAAGAGTCGATCTTGAAATACCACTTCAACATAAGCCTCTCAAACTTAGAGCTAAACTTGGTGTTACTTCTTGTTACTTCCCGAACTCCATTACTAGAGCTTAGAGCTGAGTGTGTGAGTCCTTGGTGAGCTCTTCCTCCTGCCGACCACCACCTCCAGGCAGAACACAAGGGTAGCCAATTGGAGACCAGCACCCAGCAGCACAAACATACCCTGACGAAGATATGAGGAGTTGTACTATAGGTTCCAGCAGACTAGTTCGTACTCTTATCTCTCTCTCTCTGTCTCTGTCTCTCTCTCTACTTACCCATAGGTTGCTGAAGGCAAGAGAGGTCCTAACAGTGATCTTGGAGGGAGCAAATCGACATATTCTACTGTGACGTACAGTTGAGAAGAGCCAGTGTTCATAGAGGCCGAACTCCACAAGAGCACGAAGCCTGAAACACAACACAACACAACACATAACATAAGACACACATAAACACACATACAGCACAAACACAACACAAAACACAACACAACACAACACAACACATAACATAAGACACACATATACACACAACACAACACAACACAACACAACACAAAACACAACACATAGGGAATGAAAGTACCTGTTAGAAAGTACATGAGAGGGGAGGAAAGTATCTTCAACGAAATTAATCATCAATATCTATCCTAATTAACCAGCATTAACTACTCATTATACCACCACTAACTACCCTGTTTAAGGATTAATAGCTACCACAAATAAACTTAAAAAAAGAAACTTTACTTAACTATGATGAAATTCTCTAATTAACCCACATTAATCACTCTAATTATCCATCATCACCTCGCCTGTCATCAGCACCTCACCTGTAATCAGAATCTCACCTGCGGTTAATTAGTGATACGATGGGACTTCCTTTTTGGACAATCATACAATGGCTGGATGACATAAATCTTTGTTTCCCCTTGTAGAAATCACACCGACCTGTAGCATATGAAGGAGGGGCAGAAGGAGGATGGTATTGAAGGAGGGTGAAGAGGAAGGAGGAGGCGGAAGATGGAGAAAGAGGGGCACAAGTGGAGGAGGATTATGAGGGGAGATGAAGGCGGTAGTGGAGGAGGAGAAGGATGGAGATGTAGGAGAAGGTGGAGTAGAAGGACAGGGAAGGAGTAAGAGGGGGAGGAGAAGGAATAAGAGGAGGAGGACTTGTAATACAACACGTAATAAAAGTTTTAAACATTGTAGGAAACATTTCTGGTAAACTTTAAATGTTGTTCAAATCGATGTTGTAAGTTCTAAATGTTGAAGTAAACAATGATGGGGATTATTAAAAGCTTTTGTAAACATTTCATTGTGATTTATTAGTATTATTCAACACGACAGACCTAGCCTCTGAGACGGTAGAGGTGAGAGACCTAAGGTATGAGACGGTAGAAGTGAGAGACCTAACCTATGAGACGGTAGAGACGACAAACCTTTCCTTTCAGACGGGAGAGGCGAGACACCTATCCTTTGAGACGGTAGAGGTGAGAGACCTAAGCTATGAGACGGTAGAAGTGAGAGACCTAACCTATGAGACGGTAGAGGCGAGACACCTATCCTTTGAGACGGTAGAGGTGAGAGACCTAACCTATGAGACGGAAGAAGTGAGAGACCTAACCTAAGAGACGATAGAAGTAAGAGACCTAACCTAAGAGACGGTAAAGGTGAGAGACCTAAGCTAAGAGACGGTAGAAGTGAGAGACCTAAGCTATGAGACGGTAGAGGTGAGAGACCTAACATAAAAGACGGTAGAAGTGAGAGAAATTACCAATGAGACGGTAGAGGTGAGAGACCTAACCTATGAGACGGTAGAAGTGAGAGACCTAACCTAAGAGACGGTAGAAGTGAGAGACCTAACCTATGAGATGGTAGACGTAAGAGACCTAACATAAGAGACGGTAGACGTAAGAGACCTAACATAAGAGACGGTAGCAGTGAGAGACCTAACATAAGAGACGGTAAAAGTAAAAGACCTAACCTATGAGACGGTAGAGGTGAGAGACCTAACCTAAGAGACGGTAGAAGTGAAAGACCTAACCTAAGAGACGGTAGTAGTGAGAGACCTAACCTAAGAGACGGTAGAAGTGAGAGACCTAACCTGAGTTAAGGTAGAGGTGAGAGACCTAACCTAAGAGACGGTAGAACTGAGAGACCTAACCTATGAGACGGTAGAAGTGAGAGACCTAACGTAAGAGACGGTAGAAGTGGGAAACCTAACCTAAGAGACGGTAGCAGTGAGAGACCTAACCTAAGAGACGGTAGAAGTGAGAGACATAACCTGTGTTGAGGTAGAGGTGAGAGACCTAACCTAAGAGACGGTAGAAGTGAGGGAACTAACCTAGGAGACGGTAGAAGTGAGAGACCTAACCTATGAGACGGTAGAGGTGAGAGATCTAACCTAAGAGACGGTAGAGATGAGACCTGGCACCAGGACGGTGGGGGTGAGAGCCTAGCCTGAGACGGTGGCGGTGAGAGACCTAACCTATGGGGACGGTAGAGGGAGAGACCTAACTGAGAGACGGTGGGGTGAAGACCTGAAGCTATGGGACGGTAGAAGCGAGGACCACCTGGGCCAGTGGGGGTGGGGAGACCTAACCTGTGGGACGGTGAGAACTGGAGACCTGACCTATGGATGGTGAGAGAGTGAGGAGGCCAAGCCTGTGGGACGGTGAGGGGTGGGACAGCCTGTAAGGGACGGTGGGGTGGGGAGACCTAACCTGTGGGACAGTGGGGTGAGAGACCTAACCTATGAGACAGTGGTAGAGTGAGAGACCTAACCTGTGGGACGGTGAAGTGGGAGACCTAACCTGTGGGACGGTGGGGGCGAGACCCTGTCAAGAGACGGTGGAGTGAGAGACCTAACCTGTGGGACGGTGAGGGGTGAGGGAGACCTGGCCTGGGAGACGGTGGGGTGAGACCTGGCCTGTGGGACGGTGGGGGTGAGACCTGGCCTGAGGACGGTAGAGGTGAGACCTAACCTGTGGGACGGTGGGGTGAGACCCCTGGCAGGACGGTGGAGTGAGGAGACCTGGCCTATGAGGACGGTGGAGTGAGGGGACCCTGGCCTGTGGGACGGTGGGGGTGGGGGACCTGGGCTATGGGCAGTGGGGCGAGGACCTAACGTGAGACGGTGGAAGTGAGGCCTAACCTGTGGGACGGTGGGGTGAGACCCTAACCTGTGGGACAGTGGGGTGAGACCTAACCTGAGAGACGGTGAAGTGAGGGGCTAACCTAGAGACGGAGAAGTGAGAGACCTAGCCTGTGTTGAGGTAGAGGGGGAGACCTAACCTATGAGACGGTAGAAGTGAGAGAACTACCTGGGAGACGGTAGAAGTGAGAGACCTAACCTATGAGACGGTGGGGTGGGAGCCTGGCCTGGGAGACGGTGAGAAGCGAGGGCTGGCTAAGAGCGGTGGGGTGAGACCTAACCTAGAGACGGTGAAGTGAGGAGACCCTAATGAGGACAGTGGGGCGGAGACCTAACCTGAGAGACGGTGAGATGGGAGACCTAACCTGTGGGACGGTGGGGGGTGAGACCTAGCAGTAAGGACGGTGGGAGTGGAGCCTAGCCTTGAGACGGTGGGAGTGAGACCTAACCTAGAGACGGTGGGGTGAGGAGACCTAACCTGGGAGACGGTGGGGTGAGAGACCCTAACCTGTGGGACGGTGGGAATGGGGACCTAACTGTGGGACGGTGGAGAGTGAGACCTGAGCCTGTGGACGGTGGGGTGAGACATCTAACCTGAGAGACGGTGAGGTGAGGAGACCCTAACCTGTGGGACGGTGGGGTGAGAGACCTAACCTGTGAGACAGTGAGGGTGAGAGACCTAACCTAGAGACTGTGAAGTGAGGGGAGACCTAGCCTGTGAGACGGTGAGGTGAGAGACCTAACCTGTGGACGGTAGAATGGGAGACCTAACCTGTGAGACGGTAGAGGTGAGAGACCTAGCCTGTGAGACGGTAGAGGTGAGAGACCTAACCTGTGAGACGGTGAGAGGTGAGAGACCTAACCTATGAGACGGTAGAGGTGAGAGACCTAACCTGGAGACGGTAGAGTGGGGGAGACTAACCTGTTGAGACGGTGGGGTGAGAGACCTAACCTGAGGGACGGTGGGGTGAGACCTGACCTGTGGACGGTAGAGGTGAGACCTAGCCTGTGAGACGGTGATGGGAGACCTAACCTGGGGACGGTGGAGTGAGACCTAACCTGTGGGACGGTGGAGGTGAGAGACCTGAGCTATGTGAGACGGTGGAAGAGGAGACCTAACCTGAGACGGTGGGGTGAGGACCTGACCTGTGGGACGGTGGGGTGAGACCTGACCTGTGGGACGGTGAGGGTGAGACCTAACCTGAGGACGGTGGGGGTGAGGAGACCTGACCTGTGTTGGGGATGGGGTGGGGAGACCTGGCCTGGGGGACGGTGGGGGTGGGGGGCTGTGGCCTGGGGACGGTGGGAGTGGGGCCTGACCTGTGGGACGGTGGGGGTGAGAGACCTAACCTGTGGAGACGGTGGAGGGGAGGCCTCGGCCTGGGGGCGGTGGGGTGGGGGACCTGGCCTGGGACGGTGGGGTGAGACCCTGGCCACCTGTGGGACGGTGGGGAGGAGGAGACCTAACCTGAGGCGGTTAGAGTGGGAGACCCAAGCTGTGGGACGGTGGAGTGAGAGACCCTAACCTGTGGGACGGTGGAGTGGGTGACCTGGCCTGGGGACAGGGGGTGGGCGAGGAGTGAGAGTGAGGAGACCCTGTATGAGACCAGTGGGGTGAGAGACCTAACCTGAGACGGTGGGGTGGGGACCTGACCTGTGGACGGTGGGGGTGGGGCCTGGGGGACGGTGGGGATGGGGGGACCCTGGCCTGTGGGACGGTGGGGATGGGGGGACCTGGCCTGGGACGGTGGGGTGGGGGACCCTTAGGACGGTGGGGTGGGGCCCTTGGGGGACGGTGGTGGGGGACCTGGCCTATGGACGGTGGGGTGGGGAGGGGGCCAACCTGTGGGACGGTGGGGGTGAGGACCTGGCCTGTGGGACGGTGGGGTAGGGGACCTGGCCTATGAGACGGTGGAGTGGAGACCTAACCTGTGAGACGGTGAGTGAGACCTAACCTGTGAGACGGTGGGTGTGAGGACCTGACCTGTGAGACGGTGGAGTGAAGACCTGACCTGTGAGACGGTGAGAGTGAAGACCAACCCATGAGACGGTGGGGGTTGAGAGACCTAACCTGGAGACGGTGGAGGTGGGAGACCTAGCCTGTGGGACGGTGGGAGTGAGAGACCTAACCTAGAGACGGTGGTGGGGACCTGGCCTGGGACGGTGGGGTGGGGGCCCTAACCTGAGACGTGAGAGACTGGGGAGATTGCTATGGGACGGTGGGGTGAGAGACCTAGCTGGAAGAGAGTGAAGTGGAGACCTAACCTGGAGACGGTAGGAGTGAGGGCCTAACCTGAGACGGTAGAGTGAGAGACCTAACCTGTGTGAGGTAGAGGTGAGAGACCCTAGCCTGGAGACGGTGGGGGTGGGGACCTGGCCTGGGTGACGGTGGGGTGAGCCTGGCCTGAGACGGTGGGGTGAGACCTAACCTGTGGGACGGTGGAGTGAGACCTGGAGGGGGTGAGGTGGGACCTAAGGACGGTGGGAGTGAGACCTGGCCTGGGACGGTGGGGTGAGGACACCCTGTGTTGGGGTGGGGTGAGACCTAACCTGAGACGGTAGAGAGGGACAACCTGGGAGACGGTGGGGGTGGGGACCTAAACCCTGTGGGAGGACGGTGGGGTGGGGATGCAACCTGGAGACGGGAGGGTGGGGACTGGCCTGTGGACGGTGGGAGTGGGAGACCTGGCTGTAGGACGGTGGGGGTGGGGACTAACCTGTGAGACTGGGTGGGGCCTGGCCTGTGGGACGGTGGGGTGGCCTGTGGGGACGGTGGGGTGGGGACCTGGCCTGGGGACGGTGGGGTGAGGCCTGGCCTGTGGGACGGGGTGGGATGGAGACCTGGCCTGTGGGGACGGGGAGGGGGACCTAGCCTGGGGACGTGGGGTGGGGAGACCTGGCCTGTGGGACGGTGGAGATGGGGACTAACTGAGACGGTGGGAGTGAGACCCTAACCTGAGGACGGTGGGGTTGGAACCTGACCTTGGGACGGTGGGGTGGGGACCTGGCCTGTGGGACGGTGGGGGTGGGGGACCTGGCCTGGTGGGGTGGGGTGGGGGACCTGGCCTGGGGACGGTGGGGTGGGGACCTGGCCTGTGAGGACGGTGGGGGTGAGGACCTGGCCTGTGGGACGGTGGGGTGGGGACTGGCCTGGGGGACGGTGGGGTGGGGGGACCTGGCCTGTGGGACGGTGGGGTTGGGACCCTGGCCTGTGGGGACGGGGTGGGAGACTGAGCAGCCTGTGGGACGGTGGGGTGAGACCTGACCTTGGGACGGTGGGGTGGGAGACCTGGCCTTGAGACGGGGTAGAGTGGGACCTAACCTGGGGACGGTGAAGTGAGGGGCCTGGCCTGGGGGACGGTGGGAGTGGGGACCCTGGCCTGTGGGGGTGGGGGGTGGGGGACCTGGCCTGGGGGACGGTGGAGTGGGGACTGGCCTGGGGAGACGGTGGGAGTGGGGGCCTGGCCTGTGGGACGGTGGGGTGGGGAGACCTGGCCTGGGACGGTGAGGTGGGGAGACCTGACCTGTGGGGACGGTGGGGTGAGACCTGACCTGTGAGACGGTGGAGGTGAGGCCTGGCCTGTGGGACGGTGGGGTGAGACCCACCTGAGACGGTGGGGTGGGGACCTGACCTGTGGGACGGTGGGGGAGGGGACCTGGCCTGGGGACGGTGAGGGGTGAGGGACCCTGGCCTGTGGGACGGTGGGGGTGGGGACCTGGCCTGTGGGGACGGTGGGAGTGGGGGACCTGGCCTGTGGGGACGTGGGGTGGGAGCCCTGGCCTGGGGACGGTGGGGTGGGGGACCTGGCCTGTGGGACGGTGGGGTGAGGACCTGGCCTGTGGGACGGTGGGGAGTGGGGCCCAGCCTGTGGGACGGTGGGTGGGGACCTGGCCTGTGGGACGGTGGGGGTGGGAGACCTGGCCTGGGGCGGTGGGAGTGAGAGACCTGACCTGTGGGACGGGGAGGTGGGGAGACCTAACCTGAGGCAGTGAGGGTGAGACCTGACCTGTGAGGACGGTGGGGTGAGACCCTGGCCTGTGGGACGGGAGGTGAGGACCCTGGCCTGTGGGACGGTGGGGTGGGGGCCTGGCCTGTGGGACGGTGGGGGTGAGGGGACCTGGCCTGTGGGACGGTGGGGCGAGGACCTGGCATGGGGAGCGTGGAGTGAGACCTGGCCTGTGGGGACGGTGGGGTGGGGACCTGACCTGTGGGACGGTGGGGGTGAGGGAGACCTAACCTGGGGAGACGGTAGAAGTGGGAGACCTAACCTGGAGACGGTGGGAGTGAGACCTAACCTAGAGACGGTAGAGTGAGGAGACCTGACCTGTGGGACGAGGTGGGGGAGACCTGACCTGTGGAGACGGTGGGGTTGAGGGGCTAACCTGGGGACGGTGGGGGTGAGACCTAACCTGTGGGACGGTGGGGTGGGGACCTAGCCTGGGGACGGTAGAGGTGGGGACCCTGGCCTGGGACGGTGGGGTGAGGACTAACCCCTGGGGACGGTGGGGGTGGGGACCTGGCCTGTGGGACGGTGGGGGTGGGACCTGGCAGGACGGTG